AAATATCTACATCCTAAGGCAAAAGAGCAGATCTTATTGTCAGCTGTGGTCCTTTCTAATTTATAGCAAATATAAAACTTCAAAAAAAAAAATGCTTGCCCCTCTATAACTTAAAGTCATATTGTACATCTTATCACACTTGGTGAGAACCACGGGCCAAGCAGGGGTAGGGAGGCTGAACACTGACAGATCGGAGTACACAGCCAGCTTCTCTCCTCTCTCCAGGGATAAATTTGGCAGCTTTCTGAATCTCCCTCAATCTCAGTTTCTTCAAATGTAAAAGGCGTTGGGGGGGAGGAGGGCGGGGCACAGCAACCTCTCCAAGTTGAAAGGTTAACATTCCAGGTGTTCGTGAACACCAGCCATTAAACAACCTCATGGCTGTTCATTGAGAACCCCTGGTCTCCAGACTCAGCCGAGAGAATGAGAAATAGCCCTTCTCATAGTGAGCCTCTGTTACCCCAGGGTACAGGCACCCCCATCAGTGCCCAAGTCCAGAGCAATAAGCCACCTGGGAATGCTGGCTGAGTGTCTGTGTAGGTGGGAGGGTAACGCTGTGCCCCCAGGCCCCAGACTACAGTATGTGCTGGCAGCCACCACGAGTAATACGGAAGTAAGTAACACAGGTCGAGCCTGCTCCGCTGCTAGGTAGTAACAGTCTGGGGTAACAGGGCTCAAAAAGAAATGAGTTCCTCCAAGCAGCTAACGAAGGGCAGACTGAGATGCGATTAGGCCAAGCTCGTGTGCTATAAGCAGAAAGGCAAACTGCCCATACAGTCGCAAAGAACGATCTGCTGGAACCAACTTGGACTCAGAAAGAAACAGAAACCCCGGCCCCAGGATCAGGACCAGGAGCACCTACACCAGCACCTGGATCAAGATCAGGAGCACCTACACCAGCACCAGGATCAGGACCAGGAGCACCTACACCAGCACCAGGATCAGGATCAGGAACACCTACAGCAGCACCAGGATCAGGACCAGGAGCACCTACAGCAGCACCAGGATCAGGACCAGGAGCACCTACACCAGCACCAGGATCAGGACCAGGAGCACCTACACCAGCACCAGGATCAGGACCAGGAGCACCTACACCAGCACCAGGATCAGGACCAGGAGCACCTACACCAGCACCAGGATCAGGATCAGGAACACCTACACCAGCACCCAGACCAGGACCAGGACCAGGAGCACCTACACCAGCATCCAGATCAGGACCAGGAGCACCTACACCAGCACCTGGATCAGGACCAGGAACACCTACACCAGCACCAGGATCAGGATCAGGAACACCTACACCAGCACCTAGACCAGGACCAGGACCAGGAGCACCTACATCAGCACCTGGACCAGGACAAGGAGCACCTACACCAGCACCCAGATCAGGACCAAAACCAGGACCAGGAGCAGTTACACCAGTGCCTAGACCAGGACCAGGAACACCTACACTGGCATCTGGATGAGGAACAGGAGCACCTGCATAAGCACCCAGACCAAGACCAGGAGCACCTACACCAGCACCCAGATCAGAATCAGTAACACCAGTACCCAGATCAGGTCCAGGAGCACCTACACCAGCACCCAGATCAGAATCAGTAACACCAGTACCCAGATCAGGACCACTGGCACCAGGACTGATACTAGGATTAGGACCAGCACCAACATCACCAGGACCAGCATGAGGACCAGCCCTAGCATCAGGACCAACCCCCGCAGCACTGCCCGCCATTTAGGTGATGAGCCCAGTGGTCACTAGGTCTGGTCCCAGCACCAGGACCAGGACCAGGGCCACCAGCAGCATCGTGGTCCCGCCTGTCATCTCAGAGGAAGTGGAGAGTGCTCCTTAACTCTCAGGCAGTCCAGCTTAGAAGAAAAAGCTTCTAATCATCAGATGTGTCCCCACCAAGAGGGCACAAAGGGCCAGAGAAGGGAGGTGATCTGAGAGACCAAGAAGGGAGTAGAAATTGTGTCTCACAGCTCCACGCAGTGTGGGGTCCAGCAGCTTTGGAGTCAGAGAGAAATGTATTCAAATCCTGCCCAACAACCACAGGGGCCTGCTTTGCCTCTCCGTGCTCCAGTTACTCCTACGGTCAGTAAATCCGAACATAACAATAGCGCCTTCATCTGGGGCTGGGACAGAATAGTATCTATCTGCCATGTGTCTGGCACAGAATGAGCCTTAATAAATGGCACTTATCAGTACATCAATATTCATGGGTGCAAACTCATGGGCACGAGGCAGGGACTCAAAAGGGAGGGGAAACACGAGTCCTATTTCTCACCTTGGCCATTCTGTGTCTTCTGGTGCCAATCCCACCCAGGAGCAGGAGATAACCCAGACCACCACAACGGGGCTGTTGTGGGGAGCGACCGATAAAAGGGGAAAAGGCAGGGCTGCAGGTCATGTGATAAGTGCCAGTGCAGCTGCCACGGGGGGAGGGGGTTGGCAAGAAGGGAGCCTGTGCAGAGGCCTGATGCAGAGGGGCAGTGCTGGGCCTCAGTCCCCCAGGCTCCTCACATCCCCACGACAGTTCTGCTCACCATCGCAAGCCCAGCCAAACTGCCGCAACCTCAAAGTCTCCCCAAACCCTCCACAGCCACCCCCTGAACCATTCCTCTCCCAGCCCTGCTTGGCCTCAGCACGCGAGTTCAGCACCCACCACACTGTGTGGCAAATCCCCACTCGCCCAGGTGCATGGGCTCCCCAGGGGCTGCTTCACCCCAGGGCCCAGCACAGCCCATGCCTCCTCCACACGGTGTGGGAGGGAGCTCTCACTGAAATCAGCCTGTCCCAGAGGACAGAGGACACCCAGTTCCAAGGACCCCAGATCATTCCACAGCAGGCAGCACTCACAACACACATATGCACACTTCCAACGACCTTGAAGGAGAAGTCTTCACCCTGCAGCTGGTTCAGCATCAAACCAGGCCAGTCCTGGCTTCCCGCTCTGCCTTCTCTTAGATAAAGAACCCTGGGCAAATTACCTGGCCCCTCAAAGCCTCAAAGTTCTCACCTGTAAAATGGATACACCACTGCCCACCAGTGGGACTATGGAGTTGATTAAGTTTATACAGATGCTCAAAAAGAAAGCTTTTCCCTTTGGTCTGCTCTTTCCAGGAAAATCAAAAAAAAACTCCTAAGAGTCATCACCTGATCAACTAAGAGAAGATAAATAGGGTGCCTACTGTGTGCTCAGCCTGTGAGTAAGAGAAACATGTTTCCAGACCTCAGAGAGGTTACTTGCCAGTGTAGGAGAAACACATAAAATCAGATAACGTGCACCAGTGAATACCAAATTATAATACACCTAGGAACTACGGATGAGAATTGCACAATAAACAGAGGGACACTATTTCCATTAGGACGTCAGGGAATGTCTTGCTAAGAAGTGCCACCGGGCACGAGCAGAACTGGGAACCCAGTCAAGATCAAACCTCAGGCCCCTCCCCCAGTGCTGTCCTGGCAGCCAAGTGCCAGGTGGCCCCAGGTGACCTGCACTGGGGGCACTGGCTGTTGGAGCTGCCACTCTCCTGCAGGCAGCCCAGCACTGAGTAGACACAGGCTTCAAAGCCCCAACCTCACAACTGTGAGTCGGCCCCAGGGGCCAGTCCTTCTGCCTGTCAACTGCAGAACCAGCACAAAGAGAGGTTACTTGCCAGTGTAGGAGAAACACATAAAATCAGATAACGTGCACCAGTGAATACCAAATTATAATACACCTAGGAACTACGGATGAGAATTGCACAATAAACAGAGGGACACTATTTCCATTAGGACGTCAGGGAATGTCTTGCTAAGAAGTGCCACCGGGCACGAGCAGAACTGGGAACCCAGTCAAGATCAAACCTCAGGCCCCTCCCCCAGTGCTGTCCTGGCAGCCAAGTGCCAGGTGACCCCAGGTGACCTGCACTGGGGGCACTGGCTGTTGGAGCTGCCACTCTCCTGCAGGCAGCCCAGCACTGAGTAGACACAGGCTTCAAAGCCCCAACCTCACAACTGTGAGTCGGCCCCAGGGGCCAGTCCTTCTGCCTGTCAACTGCAGAACCAGCACAGGCCTTCGTGGCCACATCTGAGTCCAGTTACTCCCTCCCTCACACGGACACGAGGCTCCTTTCCTTTGCAGGCTGCTGACCAGCCACTTGGACATCCCACAGGATGCAGGGACTGTGATCTTTGATCAACTGTTCACGCAGACCAGCAGTGCCCAGTTCAAAGTCCAGCACGGCCTACCTGGTTCTGCTCAGAAAGACATTCAAGGCTCAAGCAGCACCCTCCCAGCCACGAGCAACTTTGTGTGCCAGGCCTAGTGCTGGATGTCAGCACATGCACGTCTATTTTGTGATCACTGACACCAACCTGTTGCAGGACAGCCCCCCATAACCCCTACTGAATAGAGAGGGAAAGACATCCAGCCATCATTTGCTCTGGGTCATACAGTAGGTAGAGGTCACAGATTCAAACCCAGACCCCTGGTCCCTCAGACATCCTGCTGACATGCAACTCTTTGTTGCAAGTTGTAAGCACAGAGCCAAGAAATTATCCTCTCCTGCGCACTCTCCCTATTGACTCTCCAAGTCTGAATTCATTAACGATCAAGTCTTATTTGCACTTTCTGCAGAAAAGACACTGAAGGCCAAGCACCGTGCCATGCTTCAGGACACAGCCATGAGGAAGCGCCCGGCTTTTCAGGGCACTCGAGGTCTGATAGACAGACAGACACACGAACCAGGAAAATCAGCAAAGGGTGACAGACACAGTGACACATGTCAGCTCAGGAGACAATGGCTTCTCCCAGGAAATAGCTTCCAATTTCCATCTGTCTCTCCAAGCACGGAGCACCAAGAAGACACACAGTGAGCTCATTAAATGCCAGCTCCTTTTGAGAACCAGCCGCATCACAGGGGCCTCTCCCGCCAGTGAGGCCAGCACCACCTAAAGCCCACATGAGCACCTGAGAGACATGCAAGACACATGTGCACAAGGAGGGGACGGGCCTTACATTTCACAGGGAGCTCCCGAAGGAGTTGGCAGAGACCCACAAACATTCCAGTCTGAGATGAGGACAGACATCTCTGCTGTTGCAGGAAGACACAATCCTCTGACCCCATGGGCGTCAGGCTGCAGAAATCCGCGAGGCACTCAGTCAGGGCTTTCCTTACAACTACCATTAGCATCCAGAAATGGGCCAAGTGTGAGTAATTCCAGAGATTGCTTCCGTGGGTATAATTCCCCAGGCAACCAAATATCACTGTAAATCCACGGCTCAGAAGATCCTTGAATGAAGCTCCATGTAGCTAGCAGGTGCAGTTCATGAGGGTTATCTTTCTAATTCCTTTCTGGTCACAAGACCAGGCCTGCAGACAAGAAGAAGAAAAATTGATCTTGTTAAAATCACAGACCGAGAGAGCACTCGTCAGCTGTCCCTTCTTCCTTATATTTATTTGACCCCAATACACGCAGTGGAGAATGCTGAGAACAGTGCCTGTAGCTCTGGGACCCATGAAGAGGTGAGGCAGAGACCGGGGTCTTCGGGGGCATGTCGCCTCCCACAGGCACCAAAGACCTCTCGGATGGGGAACTTTCTACTGCTTAGGGCTCCCACCCTGGGAGGGCAGATGGGGTTGAGGAACGTCCATGACAAAGATGAGCAGAGAAGGTTCCGGAAAGGTAGGTGGCTGGCTCAGAGAGTTAACAGCAGGGCCAGGCCTGGCACACAGCCCTGAACTCCCTTGCAGGCCTGAGCTGAGGGGGCTTAGGTTCAGCTGGTAGGAAGTAACTCTTTGTTTTGTTTCTTTTTAAAGATAACCGCAAAGCCCTGGTGTCACTCCAGGCCTTGTCCCACACCGTGAGCTTCTTCAGGGCAGGGCCTGGGGCCTGTTCTTTTTTCAGCCATTCATCAGCAATTATTGAGTACCTGCTAGGCACCCAGTACTATGCTAGCTATATAAGGCTACTCTGTCTCCCCAACCCAGTGTGCTTAAACTATAAAGATAACAGGACAAATGGAGCTGCGAGGAACAGGGCTTGAGGTCCAACAATCACCCTCACCCAGTGATAACAATAACTACCCTTTCGGGAGTGCCTATTACTCATACTGTTGAATCTCCCAACCACCCTGGGAGTCCTGCCTCTAAGTTCCTGATGAGGAAACGGTGGTTCAGACAACTATCCTGCTTTTACACCCAAGAGAAAGATGGATTCAAAAGGAAGCTTAAGAGCCTAAATGCCAGGCCCTAAGAGAGAAATACAGGATACCGGTTAGAACATTGAAGTTTAAAGTCAAACTAACAAATTGACTAGCTATGTTACTGTGCAAAAATGTTTTTAACCCTTCTTTTCCTCATCTGTAAAATGGGGATTAATCACATCTACTTACTTCACAGAACTGCTGTAAGGTTGACATGAAATAATAAATGTAGGCACTTAGCATGTAGCCGGGCACATATGCACGAAGAGCTCCATTAGCCATTATGTCACATGTCAAACGGGTGAGCCTCCTGCAGGGCGGTCTGCCTCTCATACTTGCCCTCCGTCACCCCTGAGGCCCTGTGGCACACACCACGGTCTGCCACAGCACCACGGTGTCAGACCTGAAGTCCTGTGGGCTGTGAGGGGCTGCTTACAGAAGGCAGAGGGGTGCTGATCTGTGGTACCAGCCCCGGTTCACGCAGGGGAGAGAACGGGGGACAATTTGTTAAATATTGACAGAGGCCCACAGGCAACTTGGAAGCCAAGTTTGTTTAGTTGGGGTTGGGTACATTAAAACCCCATCACCTGGGGAAGCATTATTACATGGTCTGTTGGGTATTACCGCTGCTAAGCAGTGGTCCCTGACCGAGGAGGCGATCCAGCCAGGCCTCCACCTGCAAAGAGGCACGAGGCAGGATGTGTAATATCACCCAACAGTGACGCCTGCCTCCTGGGGAGCATTTCCACTTTCCCTGCTATGTGTTGCCTTTCAAGGCATTTGCTCTTCCTGTAATGCACTGGCCAAAGGAAAAAAGACAGTATCAAGGATTGGCTTGATGTGAAACTAGACTTCTCATACGAGCTGGTGGGCACACATCCTGAAGAAAGACAGACAGCCATTTTGGGAGACTGTTTTGCACCATCCACTAAGGCTGACTACATGTGCCCCTGTGAGCCAGCAGGTCCAGTCCTAGGTGTAAATTCACAGAAATGTACACCTATGTTCACCAACTGATAGGCTTGGGATATTGAAGGTGGCACCATCCATAACAGCTAAACAATGGAAGCTACTCAAACTACCCTCAACACTAGAATGGGTTTTAAAAACACACAGAGAGTGGAATATTATGGCACAATACAGAGAATAATCTACAACTGCATGCAACATAGGAATACATCTAACAACATAATTTTGAATGAAAGAAGCCAGACACAAGGGAGTGCATTATGTTGTTATTTATGTTAAATACATCAACAGGCAAAACTGACCTCTGCTGTTAGAAGTCAGGACAAGGTTATCCTGGGGGAGGTTAAGAGGGACAGTTACAACTGGAAAGGGGGTGGTGAGTGCCCCCAAAATGCTAATGTTCTATTCATCCAGCTGCTGGTTATACACAGACATTTGGCTTATGAACATTTATCAAGCTGTCCATACACTACATGTGCTTTGTTTATGCATGTTAGCTCAATAAGAAGTTGGTTAACTTTTTTTTTTTTAATTTCTCCTGTGCAACTGTGTGGCTAGAATATTGAAGACTTCAGGACCCCCTTTAAGGCTTGAGAATCAGCCCCTTCCAGGTTTCCCTGTGCTCTGTATTTTCATGCTCCACTGCCTTCCAGCTGACCCTGTCCCCAGAGAGCACTCAGGGAAAGACTTTGCAAATAAGCATGCCCTGGCCTGGTGACACGGAAGCTGGCAGGGAACTGGCCCACAGGAAAATACTGCTCCAGCCCCACACTCCAGGCTGAGTCTCTCTCCTCTGCCTCTAGGGCTGTCAGACCCTCTGCCTCTAGGGCTGTCATTTCCTTCTTGAACCCCCCCACCAGGTATTTCTACCATCCAATCCCACTGTACTAAACATTTTCAAGAAATATGATATACAGATTGCCTCTATTTTCCTACCCAACACCAAGAGAGCATCTTTGTACACCAACATCGCCCAAATGTGGGATGCACAGATGGATGCTCTGGTAACCAGAAGACCCAAGAAATCGTGGGTTGGCACCAACTGGTGGATGGATAGTTGGCACAGAGGCGGGAAGCCAGGCCAAGCAGGCCTGGGCATCCACATGAGAAACATTGCAGGAAGTGGAGGCCATGGAGGGCACCTCCCGGCATGCACATGGCTGGGTGGCATCCTTTCTCTCAGCCTCTGTGCCTCCTGGACTCTGCTTGTGTGTGTTTCCTCTCTCTTGCACCGTCTTGCAGCAGCCGTCAGTCATGGGGTGAATTTCAGCAGGAGCAGGAGTCAGCACGTGTGGATTGCAGCACCGCTGAACGCTCCTGGCAGGGGCACGAGGGCAGCCGTGGGGGTGAGACGGCAGCTCTCCGATGTGAGAAGCCAGCGGCGAGGCCCTCACCATCTAAGCTCTCCTCACTTTGTCTCTCTGGTTGGGGAGGTAAGATTTTCGTAACACTGATGCCACAAAAGAAACGTCTCCTTTATTTTTTTCTGGTGAAGGGAGAGGCAGCCGTTCCCCTGGCTGTGCTCACATTATTTCTCTGTGATATCCGTGCACTGGGGCCCCCCTAACCTGGGAAGATAAATCAAGGAGATGGGATGCCAGAGAAAGGGGCAGCTGTCCTGCTGACAGACTATTTCTGCTTCGTTTCAGTTTCTCCCCAGTGTGGGCCAGGACGACACAAATCAGCTGCTCTGGAATTTCCAAGCCTTCCAGCACACGCTCCCCCTTGGGCTTCCCCTGCACTCACCTGATTCCTCATTCGGAGGGGTGGGAGAGCGTGGGGTCAAATAAACCAGGGTGCAAATCCGAATGCTGTGGCCAGTTGTTGGCCACGGGCACATCTTTTAAGCTGTTTGGAAGTGTTTCCTTGTCTGTTTAGTAAGAACAAGGAATCCAAATGCATGTCCTCTGGGGTTCATACATGGATGACAGTCTGTGTATAAAGTGCTCTGCACAGACCCCTGCCCACAGCGGGCGCACCACCGCGCAGGGCATCGGCATCACACTCAACAACCGCAACAGCCAGTATCATTGCTACTCCCACCGGCTAGGCTTGGGAGATGCAAATGAAAGCCAATCCTGCTCACTAATGTGGGAGTTTGATGATCCTCTGCACTGTGCCAGACCTTGTGGGCTTACACAGGAGGGGGCCGGGTGGCCCACACACAGCGAGCCCTTCAGTGGCCTTCACCTGCATTATGTAGTGGGTCCCTGATTTCAGCTCTGTGAGGTACACTGATTAGAGCCATTCTTTAAAAACACTGACATTTGGGTTTGACCAGGCTTCAGATATCCTGCACCGTACTTGGGAACTCAACAGGTGCTCAATAAATGTTGCCTGGAATACTGAGTGATTAGTCCTAGTTCCATATCGAGGACTCACAATGTCAGGCACGGAGCTAGAAGCTGGAAATCCCATCAGTCAAGAGTACCCTGCCGTCAAAGAGCTTTCGGCTTTCAGAGACCCAGAGATGCGAAGAAGCAGACAGTGTGTGTCCCTGATGGGGGACATCTGATGATGTCCAGGTTTTCATGGTGGGGTGGTGAGAGCCAGGGCTGAATGTGAGAGGCTCCAGCATGTCAGAGAACAAGAAACCCCGGAACAGGCTGCTTCAATTCCCACACTGACCAGCTGAGAAACAAGGCCCAGAGAGGTGAAGTGATTTGCCCAAGGCCAACCAGCTAAGACCTGACAGATGCAGAATTAGGATGAGAAGGGTGGGCTGGGCACACAGCACCTGGGAAAGGAAGCACTCCTTAGGCGTATGCAGAGGTTGACGTTAGAAGGCAGCGTGGCATGACCAGAGGTGGCAGAGCAGGAATGACCACGGCCCCCGAGTCCTCTTTCTAGAAGTGTAGCCTGTTTACATCATGCAGTCCACAACAATACTGTGATATGAACTCATTTTCTTTTTGTATTTCTTCTTTTGACTGAAGTACAGTTGATATACAATATTACATTGATTTCAAGTATACAATACAGTGATTCAATAGTTACCTACATTATTAAATCCTCACCCCAACTCGTGCAGTTACTATCTGTCAACATAGAAAGAGGTTACAGCAGCTTATTCTCCATACTGCATTTTCATCCCTGTGACTAACCTATGTTATGATTGAAATTCTGTGCCTCTTTTTCCCCCTCAACCACCCCAACCCCTTAACTCATTCTAAAACGAGGACACAGAGCAGAGCGACCTGTAGGCCCAGAACCGCACAGGGGACCAGAGACGCAGCTCAGAAATGCCTCCGGAGCCTTTCAGCTTAAGCACTAGACAGTCCTGCCTTAGAAGGTCTATGTGGTGGGCAGCATGATAGGATAAGAAGGTTCTGGAAGACAGAGATGGGGAGGGCAGGAGCTTGGTCACTGGAAAGTGCAATGAACAGAGACTCCCAAAACACCACAATATCATCACCAGGAGCTGACCAGAATGGCCCCAAGCCAGTGACTTGTCAGTGGACCCCCAGTCTTGCTCTTTTTCCGACAGTAAATCTCCACATAGCCCGGGACATGCCTCTCCAGATGGCTCCTCATCAGAGTGTCCAGCTGTGGCCTACAGCCATGACACCATTGCCATCAGGCTCAGGGCGAAAGGGGCAGCAGCAGGGAGGGGAGTCTCCCCAGAGCAGCTGCCCCCTGACCATGTCCCCCACCTGCAGGTGAGAGGACAGATGCTCTTGGAGAGCTGGGAGTGGTGCCCAGGCAGAACGCAGCACTTCTCACAAACTGTCCTACTGACCCACCAGGACTGAGGCCCAGCTGTTATAGGGATACGACTGTCCTAATAACTGACCCCTGGGATTACTTCAGTCATCTTCTGTTTCATTAACTAGACCAGGCCAGAGATACAGTAATAGCAATTTTAAGAAAGAGAAAAAGAGGCAGGCAGGCAGACAGACAGACAGACAGACAGAAGTCGGGGCGGGGGGGAAGAGGGAGGGGTGCCCTGCCATGCCAAGTGATGACCAGCGACTGAAAAATGAACAGACTAGGGTGAGAATTTCAGCTCCAGTGCTTAGTGAACACCTGTGGAACCTTGAGCTTCAGTTCTCTGAATCTGCACTCATATCTACAAAGTGGGTCCTGCCTGCAGAGTTAGGGGGAAAAATTAAAACACTGAAATAATCGAGGAAAAGTTATGGACACTTTCCCTCTACAAATGACAAACCTTCAAAGTTTGATTTGGGCTGGGTTTTTTGGTTGTTTTTCATTTTGCAGTCTCTTTTGTTTGCCTCTGTCCACAAAACCCCTCAGGGAAAGGTCAGCAAAGACCCAAATGTCAATCAAGTCCCCATGACAACGTGGGCAAAGTGCCATGGAACTGAGCCATCAATGACTCACGGAGACAGCTCTCTAAAGGACAGCCTTGAAGACACAAGATAGAGAAGTTCTAGGGCATGCACGTTCCCCAGGAGAGCAACTTTGAAGGAGACTCCAGATCTCACTGGGCCCCTGCCTGCAAAGAGCTACCAATCTCATTAAAGACCTGGGGCAACAAGAAACAGCCCATTTAAGGACTAAGCCAACAACCTAGGCGATGCGCTCCAGGGCCTCAGGGAACTCCACACGGATGGATCACATGGACCCTGACAGGTAAGTAAGTTGGGAAGAAAGAAAAAGACACTTGCAGTAGGGGTAGGGAGTGACATTCAAAATAAGGAGGAAGATGACAGACAGCATTTGTTAACTGCCAGTCCCAGAAGAGGCCCCTTTGAATTCCCCCATCTAATCCCCATTAACGCTCCCAATGCCAAAGACAGGTCTCTTCCTGAAATGACAGGAACTATGGAAATGGGGAAAGCAGGCACCTGCCTGAGGTCATGCAGCCATCAAGGGGTGGAAAGGTACCCGGGACCCCAGACTGCAAGTCTCGTGGTCCATCATGGCACCAAACCCTGCCTCGCTTAGGGAGCTGGCCCCCATTCTGAGCACCCTGAGCTCCCCATTCCTGGGGGCTGGGGGGTATGGCTTCCTGGGCATGAGCTCATTTCCTCAAGACAGAGCTTCCCACGAGGCAACCATCCCCACAACCCACAACCCCACACATCCTATAATCTCCACCTTTGTTGCAGTTCCTCTTTAACACCGGGATTAGCTGGGCTTCCGGGGAGGTCACGCTCGTGACTCTGGAATGCACCTCTGACTTTCACGGAAACAGATCCTTACTTCAAGTCACACAGGCATACTGCACTAAGTAAACTCTGGCAGCGACCTGCCCTGCCCACAGGACACGGAGTGATCCAAAGTGGAGGCGCAGGGTGGAGGAAGAGATGGCAAAACAGAACTCCGAGGGCCCAGAGCGAGGCACAGGGAGGCCCGGCTGCTGCGCTGTCACCCGTGCACCCCTGCGCTCCTGCCCCCGGGCACAGAAGGCAAACCCCGCTTAGGTCCCAGCCCACCCGCATGTGGGGACAGGAGACAAAGGGAGCATGAGCAACATAAACATTACCTAGGGACAAAAGGAAAAGAAGAAAAGGAAGGGGGAAAAGTGAAAACTAAATTAAAAAATAAGCAGCAGAAATTCAAACTCATTAGACACCTGTGAGAGCAGTAGTCCAGAAAGAGCCCTGGGTTGGGGAGCCTTATGCAACAAGCTCATGGGGGGCTTGTTCCAACACAGGTTCCCAAAGTCCACCCACACAGGGCTGGTCAGTAGGCCTGGGGTGGGACCTCCTGCACAGGCCCCTGGTCACAGTGACACAGGGATGGCGCAGAACACCCTTGAGAAACCCTCTTCCTTGGGGTTAACTGCTCTCTTTCCAGCATGAGGTTTTGACAGCAGCTGTAACTGGGAGGGCGGAGAGGAGCGCACGCTGCCCTCACTGAGCCCCTTCTGTTCCAGACTGTGCAGGTCGCACATGGTCTCGTCCACCCCTCGAAAGCGGTTGCAAGATGCATTTTCCAGATGAACAGCTGGGGCTTGCCAGGGTGGCTTTTCCTGAGGCAGCACAACTTGGATCTTCATCTTAGAACAGGTTAAAAAAGAAAAGAAAAGAAAAGAAAAGAAAGGAATTAACTCTACATTCTGAAAATGTGGAGTGGTTTAGTGGTTTAGAGGGGAAGAAAGGAAGAGAAAAAAGACAAGGAAAATAGATAACTGAGCATGGATTACTCACGTTCCCAGTCCTTCTGAGAGCTCCCGAGCCGCCTCAGGACACCCCCGCTCCCACATGTCATAACATCAGGAGGCTCTCGCACAGCGACGGGGGCTGATATGTGACTGTCCAAGCTGATGATAGTTGACTACAACTCACAAATTCACCAAAACTCAGAAAAACTCACAACACAATCTCATCACTTCCCGCTTCCTCTGCTATAAACACACATCCAAGGAAACAAGTAGTAGAACACAACAGCACGTCAGCATAAGCCATGTGCACAGAGACCTTCCTTCGGGGATGAACAGGTCACAGGACACCTCCGGGCGTCCCTCCTCCGTCTCAAACCTGCAGGGTTACAGCCAACCACTTCCCCATCAGACTGAAGGTAATGCCCACAAGCTAATATTTGTGGAGTGCCTATCAGGTCGGAGGTGCATACGCCTCAATCTGTCAATACCCCAGCCAGGTAGGTGCCTGTCCTAGGCATGGATACAGGTGCGAAAAGTGCAATAACAACAACACAGGTGGTGGGAAGATACTAGGACTGAGGTTCCAACACGCAAACTCTTAAACTTTCACCTTCAGCTACAGCCACCCCTGTGCTCTGCCTGCACAGGACAATGCCCCTCTTCTGAGCCTCCTCTCACTGACCCTCTTCTGCACCTCTGCTCCCACTATCCCTCCATATTCAGCCCTCTTAGTGAACTTCCACTCACGCTGCAAAGCCCTTTGCCTCCTCTGTGCAGCCTTCCCCAACCTCTCATCCACCCCTTACGACTCTGCTGAATTCACCACTGCCCCTTGCTCAGTACCACCCCAGCGGAATGGCAGATACCTTACGGATTTCAGGACCCAAGCCTGTCCTCCTCTCTGGCAACTCAATATGCAGAACTGGGACATTCTGAAAGGCTTTACTCTCTCCATATTCCCAGCCCCACACTGAACAGTCATCACTGTATGCAGCCCTGAGCTTTCTCCTTTACAAAGTGTGAGTGAGCAGCTTGGGGATAGCAACTACATTACCTTTAAGTTCTGCACCTCCCAGAGCCTAGTCCTGCCCCTGCTTGGTAGCTGACAGGTGCTCAGCTCATGTTCACACTGGATATTCGTCACTGGACACGTACTGCATACCTGTGATGGTCACTAGGCTTGGCCAGAATGACAGACTATTTTTAATGGAGAGATGGAAGAAAGATTCCAAAGGAAGACTGAATGAGGCTGAATCACCAGTTCATGGAAGGCATGGAACAGAGAGAGTCACAAAGCTTCTAGAAGGGACTATCCCCTCTGGAGTTCCAGGCTCTGGGGTCAAACAGCCGTGTGCACCCTGCCTCTGTTACTCACTGTATCACATTAGTCCATGTGCACCAGGAGCCTTACAGCGTTTTGATGCTTTGCCTTCCACCTCAGAAATTAACAATTCTCGCACCACAGGGCTGCTGGGAGGATACAATGAGATAACCCACGCACAGTGCACAGTGGGCGCTTCACACACAGAGAGTGCTCAATAAATATCAATTGTTATTACTATCCCCCTGCAGCCCAATCATAAAAGTTAACCACGATCATTTCTCAGCAGCCAAGAGTGTACCAGAATGATCAACATATTCCCCATGCTCCCAGAAATTAAAAGGGGTCTCCTTTCTATTCATTCTCCAAATTAGTTAAGGAGGAGAAAGCACCATCCTTCAGTCAATTCAAGGTGCCACTAAACCCAGTAGTGCTCACTGAGCATGTGAATGAGTGGAAGGGAAACAGGGTGCGTGTCATGAGCATCTTGCAGAGCCTGCAAGGAGGAGCCCGTCTTCCGTCTGAATTTGTCCAGACTTTCTCTAGAACCCTGGGGAGGACACACCAGGAGGCCAGAGGCAGAGCCAGATCTTGGGACACCACAGGTGCTCCATGTTGGACGCCTGTAGCTCTATGTCCTTGCCTAACCTGAGTAGGAAGGCAGGAGCTAGCCAGTACCAGCAGGCAAGAAGAGGGCACGGCTGGGGAGAGCATGGCTGGGGAGAGAGCGAGGCTAGGGAGAGAGCACAGCTGGGAGCAGATGGCAACTCAGTCCTGCAGCCAGCCACAGATCAGAGAAGAGACCGGCTTTTCCAGGCACTTTGCTCTCACATGTCTGGATGCCTAGAAGATCAGAAGCAAGAGGCAGGAATGGGGATAAAGGACCAGTGACAGCTTGCACACACTGCATCAGACATCTCCCATAACTCTCATGACAGTACCTGGGGGTGGCAGGACATTCCTCTCATGTGAGACCTTTAGAAATGGAAATGGTCAAGTTGGGATTCCAAGCTAGGGTTTTCTGACTCCTTCCATTGACGGTCTCTGTCAAAGGACAAGGATGACATTATACGAAAAGGTCACTTTCTACTTTTTACACTTCAGTAGTGGTTGAGGTTATTTTTCAATAAGCTTACATTTTCAATAGTCAGGGAAAAAATGTATAGATCCTTCACTTGGTTTCGTTTTGAATCAGCATCTGGCTAGAATCTGCAGACACTCTTCGCTGGATGCCAGAACAGTTCCTGGCTGTAGGTCCAGAAGATCACAAAGCTGTATCCTAATCTTTGCTTTGCAGGACACATGTCCTGCCCATACCGAGGGATAGTCATACAGCGCACCTGATTCTAAGGGACTCTGGCCTAGGGACAGATCAAGCTCGGGAACCCTAGGCACCAGGAGTCTGCACATCGGGCCCCTCAAAGACTTGCCAACAGAGACCCAGTCAGCTTCGCAGACATCAGCCAAACCTCCGTGAAGCCCCAGGCAGCCCAGGCACAGATCACCTGAATCCACCTGACTCTGCCACCAGCCCCATGAACTCATGAACCAGGGCTGGGAGGGAACAAGGACACAGGGACAAGGGCATATACAAGTTCCTCCCCAGCTCTGGGAAAGTGCCAGAGAACAAAAATCACCTTTCTGAGGCCAGACTCCCTAAGCTGCGACACAGTGGTTGCACAGACGGTAGGGGCTAAATTTCAATGCTCCTCAAAACTTCTTCACCCCAGTGATCTGTGTGAGCAAAGAAAGGGGTGGTGAGACACTGGGAGTTGGGGAGGGGGTGAAATTTCCCTCTTCTCCTTAATGTTCACTTGCGCATATAAGTTTTCATACCCCACGTTTATCCTGACATTTGCATTCCACGGGAGCATCCTGGGCACGCAATCAGCAGAGGGTTGTCACTAGGCCAACAGATAGATGGGCACTGCCTGCTATGGAGTGTCACTTCCCAGTACCCACTCCTGGTGTGTCCTGGGGGAGCCCCCATCAAGCTGTACCCTTCTTCTGCACTCCGTATTTCTGCTTTGTTGTCACTGTCTTTATTTTTTTCCTTGCAGAGGAGGCAGAAGAGGCACGGCTGCTCAACCCACTTACAAGGTGATCTGGAATATGGTCTAAGAGGACAGAAATCGATACAGCATCACACCCTGTGGGCCTCCTGCCCTCCCCAGTCCCTGGACTGAGGAGGAGGAGGAGGAGGAGACAGGAGGGGGATGTGACTGTGGCAGCTACGGGGTAAATAGGAAACAGGACGTCCACAGCAATACCACTTCTATCTCTGGCAAACAATAACAGTAAGCGCTAACATTCTTGGGGCGTCAATCATGCAGGGGGGCTCTATGTGCACGGTCCAGTTTAATCATCACGCCCCAGGACAGTCTCACACTTTTTGAGACCGCTGAGGTCCAGGGACATTAAGCAGCTTTCTCAAGGTCACATAGCTAGTGTGTGGGAGAAGGAGGTTCCTCTAGCTGAAGAGGATGTCTGTCTAGACATGTGCAGAGCGCCCAAGAGCCTCAGCCGGGGATATGCAGAACAAAATCACCCGTTTCATACATACTTCATCTTCCTTCCATTCGGCAAATCTCTGCTGACAAGGCAGGGGAGCAGGCTTGCTCTCTCCCCGACCTTCTCCCCCTGGAAGGCCCGCGGCCTGCGCTGGTGCCTTCCATGCTGCCGGAGGCTCCCGGTAATCGAGGCCTTTGGCTCATAGCTGCATCCTTCCAGTCTCTGCCTCTGCCGCCACATGGCTGTTTTCTACAGACAGCGTGTCCCCATCTTTCTGTCCCGTGTTCTCTCTGCTAAGGACACCAGTCCTTGGATTTAGGGCCTGCCCTAATCCAGTGAGATCTCACATAGCAACTAATTACATCTGCAGAGACCCTATATCCGAATAACGGCACATTCTGAGGTTCCAGCACACATATATTCAAAGGGGATGTCATTCAGCCCAGCACATTGTCTACTGTGACCTTCTATTATAAAATAAAATGGGATGAACATTCTTAAACTTTCAGTTCACATAGTTGCACGGAATGATACAACCAACCAGGTCCTTCCTCAAGCTCTCAGGAAAACAGGAAGGATAAAATCCCAAAGGAAAATGGTTGGCATTATCTTAACATCTTCTTTATGCCCCTGACTTCTGATGTTAGTCAAACACTACAAAGCTTAATACTGAGTAACGAGACTTAAATAATTAATGCCTGATAGCATTAGCATCATTCTGTGATTTTAATATTAAAGAATAATAGTGTCAGCTTCGTGACTAATGATGGCTTACATAATTAATTGTAATATGTAATGGGCCATATTGTTGACTCACTCACTGGACGCCGTCCTGAACCTGGGCCCTGGCCTCCCGTCACTATCATCACTGCCATCAACCTGGTCCTAGCTGCTTGCTACCAATGCCAGTCCACCAGAGCAACTACCTAACACCAGTGTGTACACTGGGAACAGAGCAGGGCCTAAGGGTGTGTTTTAGAGGATTTTAAGTCATTCTCAAAGTTTAGTCAACATTTCAAAAGTAAAGAGGTGGCACAGAAAGGAGACATATCAGCTGAAAGGAAGACCAAGATACAAAAGGAGATATGCAGGACCATTAAAAAAGTGTTACTGATTTACATGATGGGAAATTGATTAAACAACCATACATCAGTACAATGAAATGCTCTCTATATAGCCACGAGAGTGGCCCACTGGAAATAGTCCAGGCGCGTTTATTTCTGGGTAGTAAAACTAACACTTTCAATTTTCTCCTTTTCAGTGAGGAGCAGGCCACAGACCCTGAGGACACATACTGCCTGGTCTTCACCAGGACCCAGCCCTGCGACCTCTGCAAGTCACCTAACCTCTGGTGTTCGCACCACCTCATAGGACGGCTATGGGATTACATGAATGAGTTAGTGTTTGCAAAGGACTTAGAACAGTTGCTAGTTCATAAGAAGTACTACAGAATATTCTTTGTTTAAAAAAAAATAAGTATCTTATCATGCAAAGAAAAGGAATTATTTTAAAAGCCAAGGAAAAAACTATTAGTGGGCCAGGACAGAAAGTATCACAGAAGCCCAAACATAATGCCAGGAGAGCTCAGTTAGTGCCCTAGATTTTCCGTTTCATGCTTCCCAGTAGCCTTCCCTCATCTATGAAGGCAGAGTTCAGATTCACCAAGAGGCAGCCTGCAGTGATTTTATTAGGGGGCAGCGGTCGGGGACCTAGGGCCTCTGGCATGTTTACATAAGAAGAGGGTTGACAATTCTGAAGATCATGGTTTCAGGTCTTAGGACTCCCCAGTTCCTTCTCCTCACCAGACATGCGCCCGGCGCCCGCCCTTCAGCACATCTGCATAAAAAATGAGACTGCACAGACTCAAGGGCAAGCCTCATGTCCACTCTTCCCCAGAGCCAAGGCCAGCCTGAAGGGCACTGCCATTGCAATGCCTGGCCTTTGTCAAAGAAGAGCAAGGATGGAGAAGTGGGGAAGGAGTGCTGGTTCAGCAGAGGCTGCCCTGACCGCAGCATCCCCCAGGAGCCCCAGGAGGAGGCAGGTTTGCAGGCTGCTCATTGTTATTCCAACCAGGTGTCTGCATCCTGGCCTACCCCAGGATGGGGCAGAGGAATGCACACGTCAAGGTCAGAGATAATGCCCCCCACAAAATTCCTCACCTCCCGCCCTCTAACAGGGGGAGGAGGGCATAGGGGTGTTCCAGGCACATGGCTGACAGCCAGGTTTGCACATAAAAGGACTGCCAGGCTGCAGCCTTGGTTCCCCACCCCCTCCTCCATCTTCCCAGGCAAGTGCACCCTCCCCCTTCATCCTCCCTGACAACTTGACCTTGGCTGAGGCCAAACACAAGCCCAGGCAGCAACCCAGCCATTCCTCACATTCTGGGTGAAGAGCCCCGGGAGGCTGCAGGCACCTCTGCCACAGGGCTGAGGAGGGCCCTGAGGTCAGTTGAACCCAGCCCTGTCCTGGGCAAAAGCCACTTGGTAGAGCCTCACCACTCAGGTGAGCAGCCCACACCGGGCCCAGGAACCTGCCAAGCCCAGGTGATAACCACAGGGAGCTGTTCCGGCTTGGGTTTAAAGGGACATTTAATGTCATCCCAAAGCATGAATTGGAACCTTGCAGAAACACACACAGGCACAATGTACCTTCTTCTAAAGTGGCCCCAGTCTGCTAGCAAATAAACTTCAAGGCTCTCTGATGGCATGTGTACCCAGCCCAGGGCACAGCACCCCCAGAGGGTCAGTGATCCAGAAGCAAGGCTCTGCCCTCTGGGGGCCTGGGTTTCTTCCCCTGTAATGACACAGGTGTCTGTCTGCTACCCAGAACCCCAATGTGCCCATCTCCTCCACAAACGCCTGTGATCCCAGCAAATAACTGAGCCTCTGACACAAGCTCTCTGCAGTGGCTTCTGACCCTGCTCCCGCAACCATCCCCACTCAGCAATGACAGGCTCCGGTCTCCATGCCCCCACCACCCATGTTCGTCCCTGTCTCTGTATTAGAGCCCAGGCTCCTCCTCCAGGCAGGTGCCTCCTTCACTCCCCTGCTCATCTGGAGGTTCCCGGCAGATGGAGTAGGGCGGAGGGAGGGCAGCAGGGTAGTGCCTACATCCCAAGTGTGGACGAGCCAGGGCCAGGACCTCACAGGTGAGCAGTGGGCCTTGGGTCGGAATGAGGGTCATCTCCATCCAGCTCCCACTGCTGCCCTGATAGCTCATTGCTGTGGGGCAGGGGCATGGAAAAGGAAAAGGGGCAAGGTTGCCCACATTCCTTGTGCTGACAGCTCAGGAAAGCCCTGTTAGCAGGAGCTGGACATGTATCCAAGAAAGGCGGAGAAGGTGCTGGGCACCAGCATGCCTGAAGAGCTCCTCATTCGGACTAATATGCACTTGTCAAATGCCCCAGAGCAGCTTCACGAAGTACCAACTCCAACAGACCAGCAATTAAAACTTAAAATAGCAGGGCAGGAGGGGAGGGGTCTCAATACCTAATGCACCATTACACCACCTTCCCAGGCCGCCTGTGCCAAAGGCTGGGCTGTCAGAGGGCGAGGTAATGGGCGCTTGGCATTTACACAGGACCTTTTATCGCACAGATCTCAGCATACCTGGTTATTCAAGCCATCCCTGCCAGGTGGCCAGGCAGGCCTCCACGGCCCCAGCAACCGATGATCACACCCAAGTAAGGGGTTGTGTGCCAGGGCCTCAGCCAAGAAGAAACTTCCCCAGCCCCCACTCCCCACAGCGCAGGACACTGAGGGTGGCCATCGAACACTTTACCTACTACATTGGTTCCTGGGGCTGCCACACAAATTACCACAAGCTCAGTGCCTTAAATGGACACAAATTTACTACCTTATGATTCTGGAGGTGAAAAGTCCAAAAGGAGTCGTGCTGAAGGCCAACAGGATTCCACTCCCTTCCGGAGGCTCCAGGGAGATTCCTGATCCTTGCCTTTCCAGCACCTAGTGGCCACTCATACTCCTTGCTCATGGCCCGACCCTCCATCTTCAAGGCCAACAATGTCACTTCTCACAGAGCACCCACTCTGACCTCCTTTCCTAGCTCCTCTTCCACTTGTAAAGCACCCATGATGGGAGAGGGCCCACCTAGACACCCAGGATAATCTCCCTGTTGTCAGGTCAGACTTCACCCTACCCGCAGCCTCAATATCCCTGGCCACATAATGTGTCATTTTCACAGGTTCCAGGGGTGAGGATGTG